TTAATAATTAAAATTTTATTTTATTTTTAATATAAATTTAAAATAAAAAATATATTTATTACACCTTAACTTATAATTTTTAAATCATATGTTAAAAAACCTTAATTAATTTACACAAACATAAATTTTAAAACAAGTCAAACTCACAAGGCCTATGCAATTAAAGCAACAGTTTAAACCAAACTAATTTCAGCAATTGTAAGCTTGAAAGCAATAATAAATTAATTCAGTAACAGCACAAGCAATATCTCCCTTGTCCCAACATTAGGAATTTAAGACAAGCAATCCTTTCTTGCCTGGTTCATCCAAAAATTTGGTGACATATTATTGGCGCATGTCAATTAGTCCTCGCCAGTATGATGGGGTAATAAAAAGGATCGGATGACATCAAAACAATAGCGCTTTTACTTTTAATAGCAGCATTCAAGCCTCTTAATTCAACAACACAAAATGTTATCAACAATTTTTTAATGTTCAATCCATTATGTAGTGGCAACTTAACAAAATGACAACATGTGTCTTCCAATTAAGTCCTAATGCAAGCCTGAAGATGCTTAAGTCTTCTGACTTGATGTTGACTGATAATTTAGTATGTCCAAGGTCTCTCTGATTTAAGCAGGAAAACATTAGATGAGTGCAAAAAGCGAGGGAGCATAAAAGTTTAAATAAGTAACTATAAATCCATATGTTGAAAACACCTTTGATGAGCTAATTGTAGATATGAAGGATTGAAGAAACATTGTAATTGTATGGCATCAAGATGGAATCACTATAAAGAAAAACATGCAAATTATGAAGAGAAAAGAAACAAGAACAACAATGTACCATATCAAAATTCAAATTGCCACTCTTACTCGCAGATCTTTCATTTCCTTATCTAATGTTTGCATGGAGATTGAACAGCTACCTTGCTGAAAAGTTGTTTTGTGTGTATAGAGTAACAGGGATCAAAACCTCCAAGGATTCTTATGAAGCTCATCCTTCTTAATCCATAATAACATTTACCACCAAAATAGAACTATATAATTAGGGAAAATGATTGGTATACCTTTTAATTCAACACACTTGGTAACACCCTCCGGTTCAGTTATTAAAATTTGTCTTTAAAAGTTTTCCCGTCTTAAATTCAAAATTGAAAATATTAGTTTATTATAAAAAGAACTAACAAATTAAGTGCAAATACATTACAACAATACACCAAAAGAGATTCCCTTGCAAGAAATTGCACATCAAAAACAAGATATTTAAACTTTTAATAGTTCAAAAAAAGAGAAAGTTCTTCTTATGGGCCTTGGGTTTTGATTGTTCTTTCTATGAAAATATATGTAAACATCATCAAATAAGATTATGAAGAGAAATCATATTTGGAATTGAATCTATTAAATCTATTAAATCCCAAATCTAATTGCTTGCCACCGAGTACTTTTTTTCATCATGTTCATGTTGTCTTTGATTTCCCTTGATTTTTTGCTTCGTAAATTTGACGACGGATTTTCATATGAAAGCTGGTAAATAAAATTTATAATGGGAGTAGTACAGAGTCCTAACTTCTCATACTTAACTTACTACACACACATATAGAATTCATTTAGAAGGAAATTAAATTTACAAACTAAATTAAATTCTTGTTGGATAAGAAACACAAATTATGTAAAAAATCCTTATCCTGATATTAAACATAATCTTAAACCAACTACTAATTCCCAGTATGTATTCCTAGCAATAAAACCAACTACAACTCACACAGGCCATATGCGGAACAGTTGGTGTGCATGAGAAAGGGGCCACTTGCATTCCTCTGAATGAGAATACCCTCTGCTTGGACATCAGTGATACAAATCAGGGGCACAAACCTAAGTAGGAAATCGTTTGTGGAAGTAGAAATTGATCGAGCCATCGTGGGGTGGTTTCTTGCAGTTTTTTTATAGCATAAGAACGTAGAACAACAAAAGCATATACCATCAAAACGTCTTCGATGTTTGCTGTTTTGGGCCACCTAAGCCCATTAAGGCTACATTAGAAGCGCTATTAATGATAAGGATTGATGTTTAATAGCCTTTAAAACTAGAATAATGCTTCCGTTTCTCGTAGAAAGCCCAATATATAGGGCCTTCTCACAAAGCTTTGGGTGACACCTTGGTAACACTAATCAATACAACAAACAGTTACAATCCTCTTCTTTTCAATTTTTGGGTTTTTGTTTAAGAATTTTGATGATTGCAACCTTAAAATTCTCGTGTTGGGCTTCGTACCAGTTCTGTGAAGCCACCTGCATTATATATTGAAAATCGATTATCCTTTAAATAGCTTCCT